ACTTTCACTGTCAAATTGCCTTAGACGATACATAAAGGGAGTAAAGTATCTACGTTCAATTAATAAATACAAAATTGGAGTTTATTTTGAAAAACCAAATTTGGCTAATGCTTTATTAAATAATAAAACTTTTCTTCATGATAATAATTTAAAAGCAAACATTCCAGCTTCAGCAGCAGAAATCACCGGAATAATAAGAAACGTCTCTACTAAATATAGCAATAAGAAAATTTTTACATTAATTTCAAGCTTCAAAAAAATTATAAGCGTAAGACGTTTCTTTAAAAAAGTGTTTAATGATGGTTCTGGTTTTTCCCTTCAGCCAACACAGACAGTTGCAATCACTTTTGCTGCTTCTCATCTGCCTGACTTCGTTGATTTGGATGGATGGAGGCATAGTATCACAACATATATACCACCAGTTAAACAATGCTACAGGTGTTTGAGGTATGGTCACATTTCAAAGTATTGCAAAAATGCAGAAAAGTGTTCAATCTGTAACAATAATCATAACTATAAAGAGTGTACAGTACCTAAAGAAAAGGCCATTTGTGCCCACTGTAATGGGAATCATATTAGTATTTCATCACAATGCCCAGTAAAACAACAGAAAATTAAAGAAAACAGAAATAAACATCAGCCGCCTACATTTGCAAGTATATTTAACAATAATAATTTTCCTGAAATTAAGACTACTCACACTAATGTCAAAAACAATGATCCCCAAAACTTATTAACTATTTTAAATTCAAATTCACTATCAATGGAAATACTCATGGAAACAATAATTAAATTAATAACTTTAAATAAAACTAAAAGCACAGCAATTTCCTCAAAAAATATATTGGAAGTACTAACTGAAACTCTTTGCAACAAAAGCAAATCTAATCAAAATTCACTCAGCTAAGGTTGATGCAATGGAATGCACAAAGTCTTTCATGCAATCGGCATTTGCTTACAAAGTTCATTTATGACAACTATATTGATATAGCTGTCATATCCGAGACATGGTTAAAACCACATATACATTTCAAAATTAAAGGTTATACAGTGGAACGTAATGATTGTGGCAACAAACACAATGGAGTTGCCATCATCATTAGCAATAGACTATATTATAATAGATTAAGTACACACTCTGATGATTCAATACAAAACCTAGCAGTGCAAGTTAAAATAAACAATAAACTATTAACTATTGTCTCTATATATTGTCCAAGTAATAGCACACCTAGATTTAACATAAGTAAGTTCACTAACCTCATAAATGAATTACCTAAGCCAATGTATATTTCTGGTGACTTCAATGCTCACCATACCATTTGGGGTTGCCACACGGTGGATGCTCGAGGCAGAGATTTATTAGATAGTTTAGATAATTGTGACTTGGTCTTATTAAATGATGCACAAGCAACTACTGTTGGCACTGACACTTGGAGACCAAATGGTTTAGATCTCACAATGGTGAGTCCTGTTATAGCATTGAACTGTGACTGGTTTGTTAATGATGACCCTCTAGGAAGTTACCACTTACCTACGTTAACTCATATTCATATTAGTATAAACCCTTCAACGGCTGCCACCACAAATCTTATGTCAACCCCACAAAATTTTGAAATGCACAAACTCCCTTCTCATGTTAACTTCCGTTTAGTCAATTGGGAAGATTACACGCAATTAGCAAACGAAACTTTAAAAAGTCTTTCTGTTTGTTCTAGCGATCCTTTATTTTCTTACAATAGTTTCTGTAATAAAATAACATCAGCTTTACATAAATCAGTTCCTAAAATCAATCATCAAAATCATAGAATTCACGTTGACGTTGACAATGACAGTGACAATCCAGGTGTTTCTAGGAATAAACGTTTTGTTTTTCCTAATCCCCATACTCGAAAAAGGAAACATTTCGCTGTCCCTTGGTGGAATGAAAAGTGTAATAAAGCTGTACAAAATAGTAAGGAAGCTTATATTAAATTTAAAAACAACCCATTGCAGGAAAATTATGTCAACTTTAAAAAAATGCAAGCACAGAAAAAAATCATTATAAAAAAAGAAAGGACTACTAGTTGGAAGGAATTCTGTTCTGATATAAATAGATCATCTCCTCTATCTAAAATTTGGCAAACTATGCGTAAATTTAACCGGAGCTTTATTCCTCAAATTGAAGAAGAAATTCCATCTTGGGTAAACGACTTTTTACGAAAATACACACCTGATTTTGTAGAAGCTGCACCTTTTCCTTCAGATTTGCGATTGAACTCTTATTCCTGCGAAATCACTAATAGTACGAATGATTATCTAACTTCACCTTTCACTTTGTCTGAATTAACTGCTGCAATAAAACTTAGAAAAGATACAGCTTGTGGCCTAGATTTTATATCATACAAAATGTTAAAAAAGTTAAATTGTAATAGTATCAAAAAACTCTTAGCCATATTTAACGGCCTTTGGGAAAATAGTTTAATTCCTGATAACTGGAAGATAGATTGTTTGATTCCTGTCATTAAACCAAATAAACCCAAGGCTTGTGCTGACTCATATCGCCCTATAACTTTAACTTCTTGCATTGGTAAAATATTCGAGCAATTATTGAAACACCGACTTGAATTTTATATAGAAAGTAATCATTTACTACCAAATAACCAGTTTGGATTCAGACGTGGTCGATCTGCCCGTGAAAGTATAGGATGTCTTCATACTGACATACAAAATGCACTAAAAGATAACAATATAACGGTGTGTATATTCCTGGACATAGTTGGTGCCTTTAATAACGTTAATTTATCTGTTCTGTCAACCACACTATTTAGATTAGGTATTCCATATAAGATGGTTAAATGGTTATTCAGCTTTCTTAATGGACGACAAGTTTACGTAAAAATCAATAATAATTTACATGGCCCTCGACTTTCCCACAAAGGAGTTTGTCAAGGTGGAATTCTAAGCCCTTCATTGTATATATTGTATATTCATAGATTAAATGAAATACTCGGGCGAGATTTTACAATTTTGAATTTGCAGTTCGCTGATGACTTAGTTATTTATGCAAAGGATTCTAAACTTTCGTCATTGGAACCCAAACTAAACAATGTCCTTTCACAATTGTATTCTCATTTTAGCTACCTAAATTTAGATGTTAATACAAGTAAAAGTAATGTGGTTGTTTTTAGGAAAAGATTTGTAAACGTGTCTAACTTAAAATTACTCTATAACGGTCAAACTTTACCCGTATTGAAATCAACAAAATTTTTAGGGGTTATTTTTGAACAAAACCTATCGTGGAAAGCTTATGTCGATTGTTTGATAGACCGTTCTATGAGGGCTACCAACGTTTTAAGATCCCTTGTTGGTTACCAGTGGGGCGCCGATCCTAAAATTTTGCTTCTGTTGTATAAAACTTTAGTCAGAAGTCATTTCGAATATGCTTTTTTTTGTTTTGCGTCTGACAAAAAATTAACAGACAGACTAGAAAAAATACAAAATAAAAATCTAAGAATTATTTTAGGTGCTATGAATACCTCACCAATAAATTCTATGCAAATAGAATGTAATTTGCCCCCTTTACATATACGTTTTGAATTTCTCAATAGTAAATTTTTATTAAAAGTGATGTCTATAGAAAATAGTTTACTTAGAAATAAACTTAGTGCATATAATACCAATTCCTTTTTACATAATGGTGTAAATAACATTTCGAGAATTATAGATGATAATAATGTATATATTAGTGATAGGTTGCCTTGTTATAAAGGTGTGTATAAAAGTAAATTTCAGGAAATAAATATAGTAATAAATAGTGATCTTTCTTGTAAATATGATGTTTATAGCGAGTTAAATTTATGGGCTGAATATAGACAGTTGTACACCGATGGATCGAGGAATAACAAAAATGTTTCCATGGCGTTTTATGATTTGTACACAAAAATTGGCCATGGCTTGAAATTACCAAGTCAAAGTAGCGTTTATACAGCGGAAGCAACAGCTATATTAGCAGCTTTAGAATATATTTCAAAATCTAACCATAGTAAATGGATCATAATAACAGATAGCATGAGTATACTTCAAGCCTTATCAAACCCAGCGTTTTCTTCAAAATCCAATTACACTATACACGAGATCAGAGAAAAATATTGTCAACTTACAACAAACGGAAAAGACATCATTTTGTTTTGGACTCCATCACATATAGGCGTTTACGGTAATGAAGAAGTAGATACACTGGCAAAGATTATAACTAACACGGCTGAGAATGTCCCTGTGAAAAACATAAAGATTCCTGATTCTGATTGTGTAGAAATTCTAAAAGACAAAATAAAGAAGACATGGTTAGATCATTGGCATGAAACTTTACAAACTAAAGGTGTTTGGTATCATAATATTAATGATACAATCAGAAAGCCGTGGTTTGCTCAGAGAAATTTTATTCACCGAAAATTTTACACTACAATATGTAGACTGCGACTCGGACATGGACGCTTTAACGAACATTTATTCAGAATGAACATGGTCTCCTCCCCATCATGCTCGTTCTGCAGCTTCTCAAGTCAGTCACTTCATCATTTGTTCCTCGAATGCCCTCATTTTGCTCTTCAACGAATATTTCTCAGTAATAGTTTGCTTGAAATCTACAATTCAGCCGAGAACATCCCGCGTTCCTTACCTGTACTTCTCCAAAACCCACAATGTTATTTGGCACTGTATAATTACATCAAGAGTACTATAGAAGATATTTAAACTTGGATTTCGAATTATTCCTTATGAAGACTTGAAGAAAAGAACTTTTAGTCTTGGCTGTATGGCGCATTTTGTCGTCTTTGCCTTTTCCGTTTAATGAACGGAAAGAACAGAACCAAAAAAAAAAAAAAAAAAAAAAAAAAAAAAAAATGTTTGTAGATTATTCAAATAAAAATCAGATATTTATTACTGTCGCAACAGCTTTATATAAAGTAGTTGCAACAATTTTGAATATGTGATAAAAATATTTTCATTATTTTATTTTAGGTGTTGACAATTTTAATGTTAGTTTGAAGGTTATATAATGATAACAGTCCTCTTGAATTATTCAGTCAGCTGACAAAAAACAAAATGTTTGCACCGATAGAGTACTTTGTAAAATTCCAGTGGAAAAAATGTAGTCACTGTGTGAAATTATTTTCATCACAAGCAAAACGACAGCCAGAAGCAATTGAAGGCCCTTTGAATTTGTACTCTGAAAAAGTTTCGACAGGGGTATTGACCAAAGACCCTCACCAGGCAAAAGTCGTACAGCATCTGCAAATTATCTATCAGGAAATAAATTCATACAAAAGGCCTGTGCTTCAAAATCGCACTAGTGGTTCATTGTTTAGTTTTTTTAAAAGAAATGAACCTAAAAAAATTTATGCTCCTAAGGGGCTGTATATATATGGCAGTGTTGGTGGTGGTAAAACGATGCTAATGGATTTATTTTATGATTCTATACCAGTAAGTAACTAATTTATTTAACTTTATTATAGTTAATATGTAAATTTAGAGTAAATTCACTGTTTTTAGGTAAAAGAAAAGCTGAGAGTGCACTTCAATTCATTTATGTTGAACATTCATGCCCGCATTCATGAACTTAAGATAAAGTCTGGTAAGGGAGCCAGCTCATTCAGAGATGAAGGATCCAAACCATTTGATCCAATACCTCCTGTGGCTGCAGATATAACACAAGAATCATGGATTATATGTTTTGATGAGTTTCAAGTAAGTAATAAATAGTCTTAAATATTCTCTCAAGTTTTATTTAGGTACCTACCTAAAAACTATGCAAAGGTGGCAGATTCTCAAACATGTGATACCATTTAGCCTAAATAAACATAAAACAGTACAAATACTACTTGTACATTTCTGTTGGTTAGTTGGGTGTAGGTCATGGCATAGAAATAATAATATGTAACAAGTAGTATCAAGATACACAGTTTCTATCTGTTGGTAAACTAGACACTTTAAACTGGTGCATTTAATAGCAGCATTTTACCTGAATTAAAATGCATATTAAAATACTAACCTCACTGAAAGCTTTAAATTGAGATAGCACTTCCGTTTCCTGTTGAATTACCATCAGTTGCCATACTTATATTCACCTTGTCTTGGTCCAGTGGCGCACCTGGCAGAAGGGCTTCATCTTAATTCCTCTAAGGCAGAATTGATTTGGATCAAATATTATTATTTGAATCACTGATTTAATTTCTTCAAAGCTGCTTGAAAATATTAGCTGATTGCTAATTTCCCTTGCTAAGATTTTACTATGTAGATGATTATTTAGCCAGCTTTGCTAATGAATGGATGCTTCCTTGTGTAGCAATCATTCTGTTTCTTCATATATATCACACAAAAGCGGTATGTGACAAAAAGATGTAAAGTTGTTCAATATTTAGTCTTGCTATATACAAGGCTTTACTTTTTAATTTAGTACTTTAATAGAGATATCACTTATGATACCAATAGTATTTTGTACAAGTCACCAATCAGAATGTCTTAACAACTATCACCTGTTTTGAACCATAACAAGGCTAAAACTAATCTTCGTCAGTTCAAATACTATGATTCAGGTTTAACTTGAAATGCAAGCACTATTTCTTCTCCCGGTCAAGTCATGTGAACAGAAACTATTATGACGAGATATTTGGAACAGATCATTTCATTACATGATTTTGATGTAAAGAGTATATTATTGAACAAAAAGAAATAAGTTAACTTATCATCACTCCAAAATAGAGATTTACGGGCTTTGATTCTTCAAAACTATCGACTTCAATATGTGTTTCACAGGAGAGGTGAGCTTAGGTGATTTGACTACTAATTATCAATAATTATTGATCGTTACATCATGTAAAAACTACTGAAATATGTAAAATAATAGTATTTTTTTTCAGATAAGTCACCTGTTGAAAATAAATTTGTCAAAAATCATACTAGCTCAGAGCCATGTTCACAACCTTGCAACAAATTATTTGGGTGAATAATTTTGTTCCTGGGCCAATGCAACCACGCAAGCCAGCATTTCTAAGCCATCTCATAGTTGTGTAGGACAGAATGGTCGCTTATTATATAAAAATGATGAAGAGCATAGAGTATAGCTAGCATATTTTTATATTGAAGTGGAGTGTTAGCTCCTTGCAGTATCATACGTCTGGCAGAGCCATGTTCTACAGATGTACTTCCCAAACTTTCATATTAGATTGGCGGAAGGTGACTGCAAAGTCAATAGTAATTTATAACTGGTAGATTTAGAAATTATCTATTAAAAGTCTCTTCGGTGGTGTTGGGTGAGGCGGGTCGTCGTACGTTCCCTAAAATATGGTTGAGCGAAGCGATGACTGGTTCAATTCGTCATGCTCGTGAACGGGTGCTACCAGCGGAGATGAGTCTGCTCTGACTTCCTTGACTTATATTAGGTGTAACTACAACACTCAAAATGCAGGCAAAACAATTACTGTATAATAACAGCGGTTGCATCATTTCGTCCAAGGCTGAAATCCTGAAGGAGATTGAGAGTTTCCATGTACACAGCTGTATTTCACGCAAGCACCTATTGAAAGCAAGGCTAGTGACCTAAAGCCAAGCTTACTCGACACTATACTGAAGATATCCCGGACGTCAGCCTGTATGAGATTAATATGGCTCTCAAACAACTTAAAAACAACAAGGCGGCGGACGATGATGGAATCACAGCAGAACTTCTGAGAGCGCCCGCTCTCACCGCCCGGTAAGCCGATACTCAAAGTCCTCTAGAGGCTTTTCAATTCCATTATCCTCGAAGGCAGAAGGCCAAAATCATGGACCAGAGGTGAGATGATATTTATAAGTTGTTTTCGAGAGTCATTACGAATCGTCTCGCATGCAGGTCCGACGACTTCCAACTTCCCGAACAAGCCGGTTTCCGAAAAGGCTTCAGTACCATAGACCACATTCATAAGCTGTGGCAGATTAAACAGAAGACCGAAGATAGAGATAATACATCTGTCATTTTGCTTGGCGTTCATGGACTATGAGAAAGCTTTCGATTCGATTGAGACCTGGGCGGTGTTTACAGTCTCTCCAAAGGCGCCAAGTAGACTACAGGTATGTCTAGGTATTAAGGTACCTTTACGAAAACGCCGCTATGACAGTCTGATTACAGAACCAGAGCTCTAATCCTATCCAACTGCAGCGAGGCGTGAGACAGGGAGATGTGATATCTCTGAAACTTCACAGCTGCATTGGAGAATATTTTGAAGCTTATGGATTGTAAAGGACGATACATCAACGTTAATGACGAGTACCTTTCGCACCTTCGTTTTGGCGATGATGTAGTTCTTACGGCTGAGGCCTTGGAAGATCTTAACACGAAGATCTTGAGATGAACATGGATAAGACGAAAATTATGTCCAATAATTACGCTCCAGTTAAAATTGGGAACACTACACTCGAAGTTGTCGACCATTACCGTAGTCTTTTACCTAGGACAGACAGTCCAGTTAGGTAAGTCCAACTTTGAGAAAGAGATCTCTCGTGGTATCCAGCTCGGATGTGCAGCGTTCGGGAAGCTACGTAAAATCTTTGCGTCCAAATTACCTCAGTGTCCAGTGTGTGTTGCCAGTGATGACCTACGAAAGCGAGACGTGGTCCTTTACTGCGGGTCCCATATGAAGGCTCAAGGTCACTCAGCGAGTAATGGAGAGAGCGATGCTCGGTATTTTCCGATGCGTAGAATCAGAAATGAGAAAATCCGTAGGAGAACCAAAGTAACCGACATCGCTCTAAGGATTGCTCTGCTCAAGTGGCAGTGGCCACCGATGGCCGTTGGAGTGGAAAGGTTCTGAAATGGCAACCACGCACCAAACGACGCTCAGTGGGCAGGCCCCCTTCAAGGTGGACCGACGATCTTGCGAAGATCGTGGGAAGCCAATGGAGTGCGAGTGGCGCAGGACCGATCGGTGTGGAGATCCTTGGGGGAGGCATATGCTCAGCAGTGGGCGTCGTACGGCTGACATGATGAGGTAAATTAATACTGAATAAAGATTCATTTATTTATTTATAGGATTTACACAGCTTTCTTAAATTGATGGTGCATATAGTGTACGTAGTGTTTAAAGTTTATTTATTCCAGACAATCGTGGCAAGGTAAAAAACACATAAGTTCTATTAAAGAACTGATTGATTAATAGTTTTCAATATTTTTTCCAAAACAACAAAAAGTGGATAATCCATAGATTGATCATCAAAACCTTATAAGAATTTGGTAGATCGCGCAAGTTTTCGTCAGTACATAGCGCAAATTATATAACAACATGATCATTGCATGTTCTCTCAACACTCCAGCAAAAAGTGAGCAAACCATTTGGTTGCTTTTGTTATTTTCAAGGAATGGAAGTGCTATATCAATATAAAGCTTTCAGTGTCGGTCAAATACTTTAATGTTATTCTTGCACATCTAGTCCAGCATGTGACAAAAGAAAAAGATTAACATGCATGTAAGTTTTAGAAATACATTTTTTTTCACAGGTAACAGATATTGGTGATGCCATGATATTAAAGAGACTATTCACTCAATTATTTGATAATGGATGTTTGGTTGTTGCTACTAGTAACAGGAAACCTGATGATTTGTACAAAAATGGATTACAAAGGTCTAATTTCCTGCCTTTCATACCTGTGCTGAAAGCTCATTGTAATGTTGTTCAACTGGATTCTGGTATTGACTATAGATTAAGAGGTACTGGGAACAAATATAGTAAATACTTTTTGTGAGTATAAATATTTTAGCTAATCATAGCATGGACCAATAACATAAATATTTAATTATTAAAGGTCATTCATCACTTTTTTGGCAGTATATTTTTATTATTTATTACCTACCAACTCAGCCTAACCATGTCATGTTATTCTTCTCCTTCATAATGGACAAAAATCAATACCAATACAGTGAATGCAAGAAATTAGAATATGCCGAGGAAGCCTTTAGATTTTTTTATTGCATTCAAAATATTTATTACCCTCCTGGCTTTGTTAAAAGCTGTAAGAACTACAACAGCAGGAAGCTTAAGCTTCTTGTTTTTATTTAGAGCTCTTATTGTTTAGTTTAGGTGACTCTAGTGGTATGGTTATTGCTATTGATATTATCATTTGATATTCCAGAAATAGTGAGATAACCCCAGAAAATAATGCAGTAGAAAATTTATTCAAGTTTCTTGTGTCCAAAGAGAATGACACTGTTAGAATGAGAGTTATCAATATCATGGGGAGAAATGTCAAATTTTCTAGATCATGTGGACGGGTGCTAGATGCTACTTTTGAGGAATTATGTGATAGAGTAAGTATCCTTAAAAAAATTCAATATCTTCAATCAGTAGTTAAAAATAACAATCGTTTCTTTATGGAATTAAAAGTAATAAAGATGCCATATAGCTCAGGGACCACTTACGATGCCCAGAACAAATAACTTAACCTGTGAACTGTTAAGATTAATTTAAATGCTGTGTAATCTTAATTGAGGAGTTCTATGGTGCAGGTGGTTAGCGCATTCGGCCTGCGATCGTGAAAGTTAAGCATTTTTGTTAAAAGTTGGTCATTGGATGAGTTAACTTATTATTATTATTATATCAAGCTCCTCCGTGCTTTTGAAGGCTCGTTAAGCCGTTGGTCACGGCTGCATCTGCAGTCGTTAGCACCCACAGACCATTCCAATATTGGATGGGATTATTCGTTATCTTGTGGAGATTATAGGGGCTATAAAGAAAAGTGGGCTCATCGGTGGGATTCTTTCACTCTGGAGGTGGCGCTTAAATGTCTCTGAGACTACATTATTTTCTTAGACCCAATATAAAGTCCTAATCACAAAGATTGTAAAAATTGTTACTTAATCACGCAGTTTGTTACTTGGATTGACACAAGGGAAACTTTTTATCCTGGAAAAAATTTAGGATCCTGTGGGTTTCCTAAAAAACTGACTACACCGCGGACGAAGTCGCGGGCTAAAAAAATATTCATAATTAGCTGCAGATATGAATATTTTTGGTAGGCAAATGTCTTTACGCCACCTGATGTTGAGTAATGGTCAGACGCGAAAATAGCCAACCATCCTTACCTTGCCAGCCCGCACAATGCTTCTTCACGCCCCTTTTAAAAGACCCCAGAGTGTAGGCAGTGTAAACATTATATCTTTTACATTTTATGATAATGTAATTTTTTAATTGTTTTTATATTTCCAGCCTCTTGGTGCTAGTGATTATCTAGTAATATCAAAAACATTTCACACGGTGTTCATAAGAAATCTGCATCAACTATCCATATACCAGCATAGATCTCAACTTCGCAGATTTATTACTCTTATTGACACACTGTATGACAACCGAGTGCGGGTAAGAACCTCACAAACAATACCTTTATTAATCATAAAACTAACAATTTATTGTGAACATGTTTTGTTATCTTTTGTTATGTCTTAAATGGGTATGTCATTTGTCTCTAGGTAGTAATAGCCGCTGATTGTGAGCCAAAAGATCTTTTTAAGGCTGATGAAGCAGGTGATATGCCTGATGCAGACAGAGCTCTTATGGATGATTTAAAAATAACGAAAGATTCGGTAAACATTTTAACTGTATAAAATAATTTAATTTAATGGTTAGGTGTATCAAATTGCTTTTGAGTTATGCAGAGCATCAAATTTAATAATATAGGAACAATCCAAATAGCCTTTGTAGTGATTATTTCTATATTGGCCTTGATTCTCTAAACTTGAAACTGAATTTGGCAACAGTCTTTTTCATTATGTTTCAAGTTTAGAGCATCATAATGCCCTGCATGCCAGAAAAAGACCCAATGCTTATAACTGTAGTACTTCTTCATCATCATCAGCCTAATAATATCCCCACTACTGGGGCATAAGCCTTCCCTATGGATGGAATAGGGAGACTGGGCCATGACTCACCACGCGGGCCCAGTGCGGATTGGTCGGTGCTAACGACTGCAGATGCAGCCGGGATCAACGGCTTAACGTGCCTTCCGAAGCACGGAGGAACTCGAGATAGAATATTTTTGGTCATCCATCCAATGACCAACCACTGCGAAAGATGCTTATCTTCAACGATCGCAGCCGAACGCGCTAACCACCCGCGCCATCGAGCACCTTAGTACTTCTTAACATACCCTTTTTGTTTCATTATAATGACCTTTATTAACATGACTTTTGCAGGAGGATGCAAAAGCTGCTATTTTCACAGGCGAGGAAGAATTGTTTGCTTGTGATAGAAGTCTTTCAAGAATAATGGAAATGCAAACAGAAGAATATTGGGAAAAATGGGGAAAACATCTAAACTGACCCAGCGTTATACCTAGTTTTTATAAATAACAACAATATTTAAATTAAACAACATTTAGCGATTTATTAATTACTACGGAGATTCCGTAATTTTGATTGGTAAATTAAATTATTTTTGTGTTTGCCATTATTACAATAACATTAGGGCCTAATTATTGATACAAATAAGTTGACAGTTCAACGTGCAGAATTTGTCACACACCGATAAATCAATATATTATTTGAGTTATTATTTCTAGATTTGTTTATCTTTATTCGAGGGCACATTTAAGGGCATATTTGTTTTTTTTAGAAGTTCGCCAGCTATATGGAAGCAATAAATAATAACACTTACAGTTATCGTAAATAATGCGCTAAGAGATAATATGGCTTAGTTGTATAGGTACACATGTAAAAATATTTTTCTGTTCTAGATACAATTATCGTTTAATATATAATTTTAACCATAATATGTCAGAAGCTAAATTATGATGTAATTTGACGCAAATCCCAGTATTAGAAAACATTGTCGTATTTATTATATGCAATCCTTTGTAGGTTAATATTAACTTCTTATGTTTTAGTAATTTATTTATTACCTATTCACAAGTTATCTTTGCTGTTTTATACACTCTGCAATCTGCAATCACACATTTCATTAGCTAATCTGATAAGCTAATTAATTATATCGAGCCTCCTGATTTAGTACAACGGATTTTTTATTTTTAAAATAGAAATGAACTTGTTTTAAAAATACTGTTAAAAAATCCAAATATCTACTTTTAATACTGTAGGTATCAGCAATAATAGTAAATTGTGATCGTTATACCATAATTTAAACTACTTAGTTCATACTTAGGTGCTTAGAGAAATGAGTTTATATTTTGTTATTTATTTATTGTTTGAAAATAAATTGGGCATTGAATTTTCTTGTTTTCTTGATACATAGACTTGTTGAGACCAATAGTTTTTATAATTCACCCTTTTTTATACTTAATACTTGGGAGACAACCTTCTTGAATAGAAGATCGTGATATTTTTGCTTGATCCATAAATCATCATGTCATCAATTTTCTGTCTCTTTGCATGACAGGAACATCTTGAAAGTTTTTCGAAATATTTATGGAGCACAACTTATGTTGAACATGGCATATTTAAATGTAACTGTGCGAAAAAAAGTAATGGAAGCCATAATATACCGGGAAATGCGTTGGATTTCTAACTGATAGAAAGCATCTTTCATATATCAATACCGGAGAAGTACTTGAGAAAAATATAACTGGGCTTCTAACGACATTCATATTTTACTACATCGGTGTGAAGATGTGTGAGTGTGTTCTTCTTGAGATTTAATGGAATCATTTCTCATTATATCTACGAGAACGTGTTTGAAACTGAGAAAAATGTTAATTCTGTGTTATTTATTCCTGCACCGCTCCACAATACCGAAAACTACTGTAGCGACTTTATTTTATATTTATTTGATTTTCATGAAAGCCTTCCAGTGTATTGGTACCGATTAATTAATCGTGACTTTAGGATTAAATATAGAATCGTCATTGGCATAAACATTGTTTAATTACAGCTAGGCATACCTAACATAATTTGGATTTACGTGATATTTAATTATAGAAGAATAGATTAGTACATACTATGTAGTACGTACCTAGGTAAAACGAACAAATTGATTCCTAAATTATGGAAACGAGTATTATTTTACTAGGATGTTGCATTTTGCACTTGAGTGATTTAATGCTTTACATAATAGATTAAGTCCGTTAAATTTGAATTTGACCTTTCTTATCAACGTAGTAGATTATATTTTTGATTTAACTACATAATTACATGCTTTGAATTTCAATACAACTTAGTTTCAAAGAGAAAAGATTCCTTACGATTAGGAAACCCCAATAGCGAAAAAATATTTGTATCGGCAAAATTATTCTTGGATCTACTGACTATTGCATGAGAATACCAATAAGAAAAAAAAAAGGTAAATTTAAAAAATCAAACAACCCGACTGCTTAATTATACTTCAAATAAAAACTGAAAAGAAAAAAAACAAGTCCAGTAGTCTATAATTCTGTTAATAAGGAACAAAGCTACTTTAACAGTCAGGACCCATTAGATATTCAAGAATACATAATATTTTTCAATAATGGGTCCCGACTGTTAAAGTAGCTTTGTTCCTTATTAACAGAATTATAGACTACTGGACTTGTTTTTTTTCTTTTCAGTTTTTATTTGAAGTATAATTAAGCAGACGGGTTGTTTGATTTTTTAAATTTACCTTTTTTATTTCACACTTTTTTTAAATCTTTTTCATCAATTAAATACTTATCTTATCCTAACTATCTATACTAATATTATAAAGAGGCAAGATTTGTATGTTTGTAACAAACAATCTGTCAAACTACTGAATCGGTTTCAAATATTAATTCATCATAAGGTAGCTACATTATTTATTATAACATTTTTCTTAATTTAAATACATTTTGTCCGAGTGACATAGGCTATATTTTATCCCGATAAATAAATTTCGCCCGGACAATGCCCGGGTGGATCACTAGTAAGTATAATATAATATTATAGATGCGAAAGTGAGTTTGTTTGTTGCGCTTCCGTGCCCTAATAGCTAAATCGAATATAATGAATTCCCATATAGAAGTAGATGGGAACTTGGTTCTTAGCTACAACATCGCAATACTTATAGGCGTAGGGTGATGAAAGGGGTGATTTACCTATAAAAATCTACATTATTTACTTTGAATTTTGCAGAATTATTACAAAACCAATATTATCGCGAGCTGATTAATAAATACAGGGATTCCAATAAGTATGTACTTACTAGCGAAAAATGGGTTATTTGTCATTATATTAAGTAAACCTTTTTTGTAACCTTAAGTAATATCATTAAAAAAAATGAAAATCAGTAAAATTCTGAGTTTTTCATTAAAATTCAATAATCATAAATACCTATTATGATAATATATTTTTCATCATTTAATAAGAAGGAACTGTATCTCAGTTTTAATGTTAGTACTTCGTATAGGATCGGATACTGCGAATACCCCATTTTTTTTCTTTTACATAGTACACCGCGCTATCACTTTGTCATCGTTGTAACTTTTTAAATATTTGTCGAAATGACATAGTGTAAAAAGCAAAGTTTATCGTCTTTAAATATCAAAAGCGATTAAAGTATTTTTTTTGATAAAAAATGATTTGTTAATACAAAATGTGCATTTTGGAAATAGATATCAAATAATATTTTAGTTTTGATTCACTATTTTAGCGGTAATGACTTACACATTAAAAATAGATACATGGTGTCACGGACTTTTTTTCAGAACTATTTAAGAGATACATTTTCACTTTACATTACATTCATGTAACTTTTATTGTTTTTGCAGTGCAGGCCAAAATGGCTCGCAGATGGGACATTTTTTCCGTCTTAAGTGACACTTATTGCTATATATTGGCCAATTCACTCAATAACTACATAAATTATTATATATATGTAATTATCATATATGAGCTATATTACTGTTAAGTTTCATTAAAATCCATTCAGTATTGTTTAGGTGAAAGAGTAACAAAGATCCATAGAAACGTAAGATTGAAATTAAAAGCGTAAGTGGTTAATATACAACTTTAAAGCGTTGTAGATCCTAAACAATCATATAGAATGAAAAATGGTGTAAGGAACCTAAATATGATTTTTGATTATCTAGACAGTGATACCCCACTCGACATATTTTGTCAACTTTCTTTTTTTACTTCGTCACAATATGGCGCCTAATTTTGCCCATATTGAATTTTGATTACTATCATATCTTTAGTAGCACTCCCATGATTGAGACGAATCGATTGATGTATGAATCATCAAAATCGGTCCAGGCGTTTGGTCTCTAGTGTGCCACAAAGGAACAAACATACATATATAGACTGTTAAACACATAACCCTGTCTGCGCGTCGCGCTTCGCGCTCTTGCATTGCGCAGCCGGGTAATAAGCTTAGGGTGGGTCCGCAGTTTGTGCACTTACACAAATTTCAATAAAATGTATATCCCTAAATTATTATTGTAATAAGGTATTTTTAATAAGTAATACCGTAATTTTGAACGAGATGTACATAATATATGGGATAGGCGAATGAAAGAACTGCTAAAAATTACATTTAAAAAAACGATTTATTATTCAGAAAGTATCAAGAATGATTATTATCTTTACCTAAAATGTTACACTCTAGTCGTACATGTGGCTGTAGTACTCCTAGTACACACAAGACGTTTGTAAATTTCCTTCTCGGATATACAAACATAATTTATTATACGGGGTAGGCGAATAAGAGAAATGCAAAAAATTACAATAAAAACGATTTATTTTTAAGAAAGTATCAAGAATGATAATTATCCTTATCTAATTGTTACACACTAGTCGTACATGTGGCTGTAGTACTCCTGGTAGACTTGAATGTAGGTCTCCTTCTCGGAAGGTGTCATTTGTGCGATGACGTCATCGTCGATGCTGGTCAGCGGCACCGCTTTACCGTTGACCAAGACGGTTGGGGCGTTGTCATCAGAATCCGAGTCTTCGCTCTCCATTTCAGCTACAATACATACATTTGATATAGGAAATCTTCTATAGAGCAAAATATATCTACATAATATGAGACAATGAAAATAATAAAAGCACTCATTTCACGTCCATATACGGTTCCTCTGATTTTTATAGTATGTTAAAAGTCTCTATCCATTTTAATTCCTAAATCCGAATTTATGATATCAAATCCAATTTTTGAAATATTAGAGGACCATTATACCATTTTTATCAAAATCGATTCAGAAGCCAATTCCAACCAAACTACTTTAAAGGTGTGCGTTATTTCTGTCACACGTTGTATAGAATAAAGGAAATAAAATATTATGCTGTTTACTCACTGCAGTCTCGATGGAACTCTATCAAATGCTGACAAAATTACGGTGCTTATTACAAGCTGTTTGCTCAAGCTTGTAGGTGTTTACTACGTAGCCACTCAACAATTGCTATCACACTAATACTACCAAAACCGGTATGCAAGCAACTCAATCCCATGGGACTAAGTATTTGATTTTGTGAAGCATGGGAAATATGATGTCTATAATTAAGTTATCAAGACAAGTACACTTGACACTTACCAACAGCTGCTAATTCGTCCTTTAACTTGTAAGGATCTTTGGACTCGTTATCACTTGAATCTGAACTATCCGGTTCAATACCTTTCAAGGCATTCGTTGTTGCATTACCTCCTGAAAACACAAAGTGTAATTGCATTGAGAAATTACGATCCTCATATAGCTTTTCTCCATATTACTTCTATCTTTTTTCCATAATACATTGATGTTAAGTGTTACAATTTCGAGATAGCTGGTACAGGTAATAAGTAATGCGAGGTTTTTCTCAGTGGCAACTTATAAAAGGACCTATGATTGTAATAATAATGTGTGTATTTTATTTAGTATTGAATTTACTAATAGTGCGACAGATATTTATTGCCTCACTTTGCACGTGATGGAATCGTGCAACCTACATTTGATGACAATATAATTACGGATGTTCGAACATTCTTCGGTTTTTTAGACTTGATTTTCTCAACAGTACCTATAACTAAATTTACACTTAACATCAGTACCCTTAGCACGAAACAATATCGAATTCGAATAAGTAGTTGAATTCGACCTCGATACACGACACACAAGAAGTTTTGTGTGAAAATTTGGGCAGCATCACAACGGACGTAACGAAATTCAAAATCTTTAATAATAATATTCTTTATTGTAATACACCATTCAAGACACACAAGTAAATTAAAACATGATTGACAGAACGTACACAATATAGGCGGCCTTATTGCTAGGCAGCAATCTCTTCCAGGCAACCCATAATAGAAAGATAAATAAATATGAAGGAGAAAGTAAGGGGTGTTGTTCCGTTATCACTTAATCGTGGTTACATATTTATTATTTTAAATGTGGGTAGGTTCGCAACGAGAACGATGCATCTGCGAATGTGGTTTTTTACTAGCCTAACGCAGACAGTTAGCTACTGATCACGCGAGAGGACCTACGTCACTCCGTTCCGCGCCCGCGCACTCGCTAACATCATATAACCATTATACTTACGTGCGGTATACCAAACAAGTGGAATTCGTCAACAATAAACTGTGAATTTCTTCTGTGACTGTGTGTGCTGTTAATGTGCCCCTCTAGCTAGAAGAATACGCGGACCACAAGCTTGCGACAAAGGTTTCAAACGTGAGTACGTTACGCTTTTAGCAAACCCATTCGTAGTTGTGTATTAATCGTTATCTCGTTGCAGCCCCTTTTCAATCGTTTTAATTACATATATCGGCTGCCCCCAATATGTATTTGCAATAACAATACATATTTTATGGTGCCGAAACCCGGGAACTAAAGTCGCACCTTCATATATTTTCTGAATATTTTCTAGTTAAACTCAGTTATTCATTTCATTGAACATAGTCAATTTAATTCGTATTTCATCGAAATACTTTTCAAAATTATTAAATTTAACGTAAATTCTCCATTTGAAATTTCATAGTTGAACTACCTCATAATATTTTTATTGGTAAAAAATTGTAATTTAATCAAAGGCATATGAATATATTGAATTCTTTAAGTCATTTATTAACCTTTTAATCGATTTCACAGCGTTTCAATATATAAACCGATAACTAAAGCGCATTTTTTCGGTAATCAGCTGAGTACGTAAACAGGTGACCTATACCTAAATGACATTATAGATTTTGCAAATTACGTTTAAATATTTTGGTTTACATACGAACGATTCTGTTTGTTCTATTTGCATATTACATTATTACGCTTCGTCCCGTACTTAATTTTCGCTATAAGGAAATAAAGTAGGGTGACAGTGATTTTTAATTTTTTCCAGGACAAAATAAAAATCGTTTTTATTTTAATTTATATACATTTCTAAAAGGTCATACAACATTCGTCGCCGCTCTAAACCAGATACCATGGCTAAAAAACGCAATTCCAAATGTATACCTATTGATGATGGACTAACTGTTGCCGATTTATCGACATTGCGTCGTAAACGTACTTTAGCTTTTAATCGTTTGAAGAAGATGTTTGCTGTCGCAGAACTGGCTAAAACTGATCCTACTCAAATTGACATATTTATTGCTCATTATTCTACATTGCAAAAAATAGTCGATAATTTTGAAGATTCGCATTCCGATATATTGTCAGTTATTGATGATACCTCAGCTGAGGAGCAAGATTCCATACGAGCCGAATTTGATGAAACGTATTTTCACATTTTGGCTTTGCACCGTCAGTTAGTTCCTTCAAACGAAAGTCAATTAAATCAATCGTTACCTACTGCTTTAGAACGCTCAAGTACTTATAATTTAAAATTGCCTAAATTACAATTACCTACTTTTTCGGGACATATTAAATCGTGGCCGGAATATTACGATATTTTTAATTCATTGGTGCACAATAATGAATCACTCACAGACACAGAACGTATGCATTATTTGGTATCCAGCCTTAGTGGAGATGCCTTAGGACTCATTCGTACTTATCCTGTCCAAGGTATTTTTTACCGAGAGGCTTATGAAACTTTAATCGCCCGGTACCGCAATAAGCGCGAGTTAGCGTTTACGTGTTGGAAAGAAATGCAAAATATAAATTTTAAAATTAATTCTCCTTTCGATTTTCGTCGCACTTTGGATTTGTTTAATGAAAACCTAAATATTTTAAAGGGTTTGAACCTTCCTACTGAAAATTGGGATTTTATTCTCTGTTATTTAATTTTATCAAAATTAGATACAAAAACGCGATGTGCTTTCGAACAATTAAACTCGACAATGGAACTACCTTCTTATCAAGATTTGAAATCTTTTCTCTACGCAAAATGCGAAGCGCTAGTTCGTGACACCCATTTTTCGTCAAATGATTATAACAAACCGCGCTGTTCTGAAAAGGTTCAACCAACCAAAGTCAATTCGTTCGCCTCGCATAACAAATCCACTTCGGTTTTTCTTTCCAACTCATCCCATTCATCTAAACAACTGCAATCATCTAACGTCACTAAATCCAATTCGAATGTATTGTCCCAGTCATCAGCACATCCAATCGTAACCTGCTCTTTCTGTTCAGAAAATCACTCTGTCAATTTATGTCATAAATTTGCACAGACCCCCGTGTCTGAACGGATTGAGCTTGTTAAATCTCATCGTCTGTGCTTCAACTGTCTGCGACCTTCTCATACGGTTAGTGACTGCAAATCTATTTTTCGTTGTCAAAAATGTCGTCACCGACATCATATGCTTCTTCACGAAGATGTTTCAGTTGTTTCTTCGGAAAATCAATCCAATAATAACAATCAGACCCCTAATCAGGTTAGGGTTCTGACGAGTCTCGGCGATGGTTCGGTCGTGCTATTATCTACCGCTTACATTCAAATACGCGATCAGTCTGGCATATTCCAAAACTGTCGTGCCTTGATTGATTCTGGCAGTCAAGCACATTTCATTACCGAACGTGCTCTTCACCGTTTAGGTATTACTCACACTACGAGATCACGTCAAGTTCGTGGCTTAGGACAGTCAACCGCTTCAGTAACAGGCAATGTTGATCTCCAAATTTGTGCCAATGGTAAACCGCTTTTCACCATAAACGCCTTAACATTGCCTCACATATGTGGCAAGATGCCATCCGTTCATCTCGACCAAGCATCGTGGCATCATGTAAAGAATTTACCATTAGCTGATCCAACCTGTCATAAACCTGGCCCCATTGACCTTCTCCTTGGTGCGGAGGTCTTCGTTTCGCTACTGTTACCCGGTCGAGTCGACGGAGGACCGAAGCAACCATCCGCCCTCAACTCTGTTTTTGGCTGGCTTCTGGTAGGAAGTGTTGGTTGCAAAGACGAAGAGGTGCGATCCTTCTTCATTAATACAAATGACGTTCTTTGGGAGCTAGATTGATTCAATTTCGTAAATTCAAAACATCTCACTCCTGAGGAAGATAAGTGTGAGAATATCTTCGCAAATACTCACTCACGAGATTCCACGTATCGATACGTTGTTACCTTACCCTTCAAAGACGAAGAGAAGGAACATTCTTTTCCCGGATCTCGCGACACCGCTTTGCGTTGTTTATATTCACTAGAAAAAAGACTTTCCAAAAATTCCGATCTTCGTTTGCAATATAATGAGTTTATGAAAGACTATTTAGACAGTGGTCATATGAGCCCTGTTTCTATCGAAAATTTGAAGTGTGGAAAGTACTACATTCCACATCACTGTGTCGTTCGTCCGGAAAGTGTCACAACGAAACTTCGCGTTGTGTTCAACGCTTCTGCCAAGGATTCCAGAGGTATTTCGCTTAACGATACATTACTCATAGGGCCTAAACTACAAACTAATATTGTTGAGATACTTTTGAACTTCAGGGTTCACTTTGTTGTTTTTATGGCCGACATGCGACAAATGTATCGGCAGATCGTGGTTAGCGAGGCTGATCGTGACTACCAACGTATCTTCTGGCGTTTTGACACTAACCAACCCGTTCAAGAGTATCGTTTAAATACCGTCACGTACGGCATGTCTTCCGCTCCATTTCTCGCATGTCGTACAATAAAGCAACTGGTCTTTGATGAAGGTAAGGAACTACCTCTTGGAAGTAAGATCTTGTCTTTTGACTTATATAGGGTGAAATTGAATGTTTCTATGAAACTTCGTGAGATTGTTGGGTTATGTGTATAGAGTATGCCTGTCTTTTTTCGGATTTTTTTGAAGTATATTTTTTTCATGTATTTATTTATAATTTGTGTATTTTTATGTCCTTTCCTCGTTTTGAGTAGTTATTCATTTTAAACAAACAAACTTACATATCCAGTGAAAAACAACTAATAAATAAACACTTCTAAAAAACGGAAAAACATTGAAATTCCACCGCGGGTCAACGACCGACCGCGCCCGCCAGCCGTTGAGTGAATAGGTACCTAACTCTACACAGAGCTCAGCTGACTCGTTTGATTCCACACAATACAATAAAATCGTCTTAGATGCCTTTATTGAAATTGAAATAATAAGCACAAATGTCATCTTCTCTTAAGCAGAGAAAAACTTTAAAAGTTAATAATAATTTTGTCACGATTGGAAATAGGCAAATGTTAAACAAAAAGAAATACTTATTGCTTAATACTTGGGTCAGAATGAAATTTATAACCAGGTATTCAAAAGTACTTACGAGAC